TTTCGCACTGTCGGGATAATTAAATCCCTTGGGTGAAATCATTAAAATATAAATTGTTGAAAATTAGCTTTCATCCAAGCGATTTTGCATACGGGATTGTCGCAATTGAAAGCCGTGTTACGAAGACTTTTAACAGAGGACTGAAAATACGACACCGAAATTCGAAGACACATTGCAATATGTCTTCCAAAATCTAAGCAAAGTATTAAGAAACATGGAAATTTCGTTATAAACAAAGAAAAGAGTGCTAAACTGTTAAATATAATATCGGTCATTCTGTATGGAAGTAAATGCTGGATAATCTCCTCACAAATGAAAAAAAAAACATCCTTGAGACGACAGAAATGAGGTTCTACAGAAGGATGCTGAGAATCCCTTGCACTGAATATGTGAGTAACGATGAAGTTTTCGGGAAAATGGAAACAAAAAGGGCATTTATACTTAGAATCAGAAAGAAACAATTTGAATTTCTAGGTGACATAATGAAGAAAGAGGGCTTGGAGAATTGAACACGCACAGGGCATATGAAGATAAGAGGGAAGCAATAAATAACATACCGAAGGATATTGAGTAAAGGTTTGGCAGAAGAGAGATTAGGAGAGATAGCAAAAAGACAAATCTTAATAAGAACTACAAAGAAAAGGAAATTGTGGAGAGCCATCATTTTCCACGCTCCGGAGGGACACGGTACAGAGAAGAATAAAATTTCTAATCGGATATTTTCTATTCTTCTCAACAAAATATAATCCACATCTCTTCTGCACTTGAAAAGCAATCTATCTATTTCAGTCTGTTTCTTTCTATCTATCTATCTATCTATCTATCTCAGTCTGTTCACATCTATCTATCTATCTATCTATCTATCTATATATCTATCTATCTATCTATCTCATTCTATCTATCTATCTATCTCAGTCTGTTCACATCTATCTATCTATCTCAGTCTGTTCACATCTATCTATCTATCTATCTATCTATCTATCTATCTATCTATCTAAGTCCCTTCGCAATGTTAAGACTCAAAAGAAAATGGAAACATTAATATGTTATAAATATTTATATTTTGTAAAATAGTTTAGATATAAGTAATATACACAGTACAGGATCTAATGTAATATATGTTGCATGTCAGTTATATACTTGCGTCAAGTAAACTTATTTATATGATTCATCCTGCCGTAGCATTTGATCTGGCAAAGAAGTGCAGTCTTTTATGACGTTTGAGTAACTGCATTAAACATGTTTCTATCGTTCAAAGGACGCGTGAGCATAGGAAGTCAATGTCGAAATCCAATCGTAGCTCTTGATCTCTCGGAAATGATCCGACCTTTGACCATTAGACGGTCCCGATGAAAAGTTTGCACTCGGAATACTTGCTCTAACTCACTGAACACGGCCTGTGAGCAAATTCATTGCGTTTCTCTATTAGAAGCCATCTTTGGCCATTTTTCTAAAGCAAATCGCTGTCCTATGTTTTTATATAATCGCTTCAAATCATTCATTTACTGATTTTTTTTTTTTGCTTGTGTCGATATCTAACGTACAAGTTCATAGTATTTTTGGGTGATTACCTTATAATTTGATTTAGCGAAAGATCAGGCTAGTACAAATTTAAATATCTAGGGAGTGTTTTAACGGGGTACGAAATATATGACAGTGAAATCCGAAGAGACATTGGGATATCGAAAGATGGATTTCAAAAGCTAAGAAACAGGGAAATCTCATCATAAACAAAGAAAAGAATGTTTAATTGTTATGTAATATGGCAGTGAATACTGGAGAATTTCCACACCGATGGAGAAGAGACTCGAGGCAAAAAATATGTTTCTACAGAAGGACACCCTTTTTTCTTAGGGAAAATGGAACAAAAACAACACTTATACTTAACATTAGAAAATTTGACACTTACATGTTCCTGTTTCTTTGCTTAGCTTTTTGAAGGCATCTTTTTCTATTCCAGTGCGCTTTCAGATTTCGGCGTTGTCATGATAGATTCTTCCATTTCAGTTCTTTGCTCCCAATTTTGCTGACAACCCTACGTCCTATCTTACATTTCTATTATTTTATTTCTTTTGATTTCTGGTATGTACACATTTCGTTCCGGGTCACGCCCAATGACCTAAGGTTAGAAATGGCATCATGACATTTTCCACTGACAAAAAAAAAAAAAAAAAAGAAATAAAACAATATATTTTACAGAGATAAAGCCCTTCGCAAGGTGCAGGGTGTACTCGTGAGAACAATTTTTTTCTATTTCTTTAAGGCATGGACTTCCAGGAATCCCTTCAGTGAGTCTACTGGAATCTTTTCCAATCAATCCGAGGGCTCAAACTACAATAGGGATTGTTGATGTTCCTATGTGCCACATTTTTGAGAATTCGATTTCAACGTCCTCGTATTTTGATAGCTTTTTGAAGATCATCAAAGATACATTGCAGTTTGCAGGGACTGTCATATCAATCAGGAGGCACAATTATTATTATTATTATTATTATTATTATTTTCTTTGATTTCTGGCGTTTATACATTTCTTTCCGGGTCCCGCCCAGAGACCTAAGGTTAGAAATGGCGTCATGACACTTTCCACTGACAAATTAAAAAAAAAAAAAAAAAAAATACAAATTACAGAGATAAAGCCCTTCGTAAAGTGTGGGCTGTACATGTCAGAAAAATTTTTTGTACCTCTTTGAGGCATGGACTTCCAGGAATCCCTTTAATTAGTCTGCTGGAATCTTTTCTAACCAATCCTAGGGCTCTAACTACAACAGGGATTGTTGATGTTCCCATATGCCACATTTTTGAGATTTCTATTTCAAGGTCCTTGTATTTTGACAGCTTTTTGAATATCTTCAAAGATACATTATTATTATTATTATTATTATTATTATTATTATTATTTCTTTGGATTTTTTGTTGTATACACATTTCCTTCTGAGTCCCAACCAAAGACTTAAGGGCAGAAATGACCTGAACATTTTACACTGATCATTTTTTGTAAAAAAAACAAAACCAAAACAAAACCTAAGATCACAGATATTTTATATAGATAAAGCTCTTCATAGTGTGTGAGTACATTTTTTTTGGTATATCTTTAAGGCATAGGCTAGGAGTAATCTCTCCAAGGATTCTATCGGGACCTTTTACAATCAGTCCGAGAGTTTCAAATACAACTTGAATTATTGATGTCCTCTTGTGCCACATTTCTGAGATTTCCACTTTAGTTTGATAGTTTTTGAAGATCTTCAAATCTATATTAAAATCTGCAGGTACTATCATGTCAATAAGAAAGCGCATTCCGTTTTAGGTTTTTGATCACGATATCTAGGCGGCTAGCTTTGATTGTCCTGTATGTATTGTAAATTTCCATAAAATTGTTACAGGTCCTAATTCTTTAACCGGATCTGAGTGATGTTTAAACCATTTTCTTGCGTTACTTCCAGTAAAAATTGCACATTTCCGGTGCAGATATTGGTCCACTATCATTTTATATTCAGTAGTTTTTATTTTATTAGTATTATTATTTTTATTGTGTGGGAAAGAAGTACTATTTGGTTTAAACAAAATAGGCAAAGTATATAAGATAAAAGAAGTATCAAAAAAAGGTAGCTCGTTCCATTGCCTCTTCTTCCAATATATGGTATCTTGACGATGCAACGTTGGAAGGATCCTTCGAGGCCGTAGTTGCTGTCCTCTGACGATTTATTCCCATTTTTCTCTGCTTGACCTTGAGATTAACTCGTCCTAGTCAGGGATAATAAACTTGAATTATAGTGCCGATGATTTCGAGAGTGCTATACGGGATATTAGACTCATCCTTGAGGATATAAAAATGACACCTAACGAGGAATTACACATTCTTGGTTCTCCAGTCTTTCTAATGGCCATTCGAGAGGGTTTGGATACTAAGCATGTTAAGAATGACTGAAAAATTGCAATTAATTGATGCACATCCAGCCCTCTTCCTCTTGAAGAACAGTTTTTCGCTACAGAGGTTCCTCTACACTCTCCGAAGTGTCCCTCGCTACCTGAAACAGGATTGCTTAAACGAGATGGATATCACAATTAAGAGATGCGCGGAGTCAATTTGCAACGTTAATTTCGACGACACGGGCTGGAGGCATGCAAAGCTCCCTTTGAGTTTCGGACGCCTGGGCCTTCAATCAGCGGCAGACTTGGCCCTTCCATCATATCTTTCTTCACTTTCTTCCAGTCGTGAATTAATTGATGAGATACTCAGTGGATAGTCTCAATGTTTTTTGGGTAGTTCTTTCGAGCAAGCTTGCAGCGTCTGGGCACAGGAATTACTTTCTATCCCACTAGACACATCAAAGCAAAAAAGCTAGGATAAAATAAAATGCGAGGCCAATTTTACTAATTTGAGGCTCTCTCTGGATCAGCATCGCCTGACTGTCTACTATCTGCTTTACAACCGAGTAGTAGCGCCTGGCTCAACGCAGTGCCCTCTTCATCTACCGGTACGCTTTTAGATGATGAGTGCACTGGGGTCGGAGTCAGGTTCCGTCTTGGACCCAAATTATGTGAGCGTCAGATGTAGAGCTTCCATTGATGAGTTCGGTTTGCATCCTCTCTCCTGTCGTCGTAGTGCGGGCCGCTTTCCAAGGCATGAAGCAATAAACGACATCATCAGAAGAGGTTTGGATGCAGCTGAGTTCCCTTCGCAAATCGAACCTGTAGGCCTCGACCGTGTTGATGGAAAGCGACCGGATCGCATTACCATTTCTCCTTTTAAAATAGGGAAGTCGTTGATTTGGGATGCGACTTGTGCGGATACATTTACGACAGGTCCGCAGTTGAGCCGGGGTCTGTAGCCCGGGAGACACGGATAAAAAAAAAATAGTTAAATATTCTTCTTTGCGAATAGATGTTTTTTTTACTCCTGTGGTAGTGGAGACTTCTGGGGTTATTGGCCCTCGTTCGATGGCGTTCCATCGGAGAATTGGCAGGATGGCGTCTCGATTAAGGAACTAGCCTCACGAAAC